TACTTTTATAACACGCGCTATAAATCACAGTGATTCACACACTTTATTTACGTGCCTACTGTTCGCTTGACTCAATTATCTATCTCTTCGATTCAATATTTTCGGTTTTGCTCACCAGGTTTATATACTAAAAAAGAGGGCGTCTAGCGAAAATTCGGACATTCATGACCCTTCGAGAAACTCCAGCGCGCATGCTCCAAGCGTTGCGTGCATTCCGCCGTCGTAACAATATGTAACGGCTCTTAGCTTTATCCTGGTACTAGGTGTATGTGTGCGGCGCGTTACGAAACGGTGAAATGTACTGCGTATGTTTAGGTCATTGGAAAATATTTCTTTCGTAACGTGAGTTTTATTTTCTTTTGATAATATATAAGCATTTGTTATCTTGTTCCCCAGCTAGCCATTTTTACAAAATGTGTAAATTAAAAAAAATCTTTTTTTTTCATGAAATTATTTTAAGTTGTACTATTACTAATATCACTATTACTTTAACCCTATTTTATATTTATCGTATCCCGACATTCATATATTACTTACTAAGTAGAAGTTTATTAGTTTGGTGTTGTATTTGTTTTCATATACTCGTCTTCAATTTCAAAAATATTAAACTTGTATTAATTATTATACATTTTAACAAATAAATGTACATGCACGTAGCTCAAGGGGATTGGAAAATTAAAAAGAGACCATTTATTTGGTGGTGTAAACATTAACAGTTTAACTTTTAAGCGATGCTCAGGTAAAACAGAATTATCTTTTTTTATGAGTATTATGGGGAATGTTCTGTTGCCCATAGACTTTGTAAAAGTCTGTTTGCCTTTAAATTGAGTGTTGGCATAACCCTATTGGTTGATGTTGTGATTTACAAAGTACAGTGTTATTAATGTTATTCACCACCATGTGATTAGTGCTGTGATGTGGCTTTGGAATGCATAGAATAAATGCATTTACATTATTTAATTTATCCAGTTCATTGGAAAGAAAATCTAAAGTTTTACTTTGTAAACTAGTTGTTAACACATGTTCATCTTGAGAATTTTAATGATTATGGTGTCTTTATTCATTGGCTTGGAACATATCAAATAGATCTGGCATGCAATAATGATAAAAGAACACAATATTGTGTATAGCAATTAGTGAAAAACCACAGTAAATGAAACAAACTGTCAAAAGTCTGATATTTGAGAAACTAGTTTCGACACATTCGTGTGTCCTCTTCAGAAGACAATGTGAGTCTTGAGTTTCTAAACTCAGACTTCTGTTCCATTTACTGTGGTTTTTCACTATCTGGCATGCACTTCAAGCTGCTACTTAATAGTAAATAATGTCTCATCTCTTTAGAGCTGACTGAATTGAACTTCAGTATAGGTAAGAATAACTTATAATAAAATCAATCTCTGGTATTCTCAGTGAAAAATTATAATTACTCATTGAAAAATTCTGATAATTCTGAATGAAAAGATACCTTTATCTCTTTGAAATTATGCTACTTGTACTTTTTGTATCTTCCCACACTATTCAAAAATCATTTATTTTTTAACTTTCTTCCCACACTGCTCTCTTTCAAAATCAGTTATTTTTTTAGAATTGCAGCCCACCTCTTCCTTTTTCAAAATCAGTTATTTTTTAGAATTGCAGCCCACCTCTTCCTTTTTCAAAATCAGTTATTTTTTTAGAATTGCAGCCCACCTCTTCCTCTTTCAAAATCAGTTGTTTTTTTATAACTTGCACTCAGTCCTGCACTCTTTCAAAACCAATAATTCAGAAACGTAAAAAAAAAAGTTCAGTTTTCATGAATGTTGCATTGCAGTTACTTTAAAGACGATGTTGTAGATTTTAAAATATCTGGTTGAGTTGACTGGGAATTCTGTTATACACTATTTTTGATGGTTTCATTATTTGTTTCTATGTCATAAAGGCTTATAACGTTAAAATCTGGATTGCACTATCAGTGGGAGCATGGCTCATTGTGCTTAACAACAAACAAATGAACAAACTTTGTCACAAATATTTTGTCCAAATTTCTTAACATTAGAGCTATAAAATAAAAATTAGAAAAATTGTATTGTCTTGGACTTAAAAAATAATGTATTGTAATCAAATGTAATTTTGTTTTATTCTATACTAGATGTTTTTAAATAATATGAAACATGGAAGTAACCACTGGAAATATAGCCCCCTCTTGTGGAGATTAAAACATAATGGTGTTATTGATCCATGGAAGTATGAGAAATAATTGTTTGAGGCATTATTGGAAATGTTTTTATTGTCAGTTTCTTGTGATTTTTGGTATCACTGATAATTAGTCAAGTAATTTTGAAGTGCTGGCAGTACATTGAAAAACTTCTAAGTTGTTTGATCACTTAAACAGTAACATTGACATCAACACTGTGTTCATTTACACATTTTCTATTAATATTTCATTAAATCTAAATGCTAAAGTGTGGAATTAATGCTGTACATGAGCTTGAGACAATATTTTGCATACAAAGTTTTGTAACTAATCATTGTCGCACTGACTGTAAACTTGTGTTACGCATTATCTTGTACAGTTAGTTATACTATACAAGATAAAGTGTGAGAACATGTGAAAACCAAGTCACTGTTAGTTATACTATACAAGATAAACTGTTAGAACATGTGCAAACCAAGTCACTGTTAGTTATACTATACAAGATAAAGTGTGAGAACATGTGAAAACCAAGTCACTGTTAGTTATACTGTACACAATGTGTGAGAACATGTGAAAACCAAGTCACTGTTAGTTATACAGTGACTTGGTTTTCACATGTTCTCACAGTTTATCTTGTATAGTATAACTAACAGTGACTTGGTTTTTACATGTTCTCACACTTTATCTTGTATAGTATAACTAACAGTGACTTGCTTTTCACATGTTCTCACACTTTGTTGTTACATCTAATGTAAAATAGCAGAGTTCAGTTTGACTTACATTTTTATACACTGTTCATATAGTGTTTTAATGATTAGTCACAGTATCTTTGTTTTACAATAAAATTTGTTTTTTCTAGATTAGAACTTGGTATTCTAGAATTTCAAATAAAATTAAATTATTATACATTTTTTAAAATATGCTATTAATCCAGATTGTTCCAGAAATGTATTTTATCTGATGTAATCTTGCAGTCTTTCACTAGTTATTCTAAATGAAGATGGAACAACATCAGTTGTCTATTCTTATCATCCTAACGGCATTGGTGTGGCTCACATCTGCTGCAGTTCCTTCTCCTCCAACGATAGTGAAGCAACCCCCCATCCACGAGCAGTTGTACCAAGTGTCTGACACATCTGATGAGCAAGACAAACCTTTTATACTGGAGTGTGAAGCGAAAGGCAACCCAGAACCGACGTAAGTTTAAGTCACTAAACACATAAAGAAAATAAGAAGAAATTAAGTTAAATTTTCATCTTTCAGTTGCATGTTAGAGTTATACATAATAATAAATTCATGTATTGATCAGTGTGAATGCCACAATATCATAAAACAACTGCCAATCTAAATTAGTTTGATTGTACAACAAAATAGGAATGGCAGTGGAGTTGAGCTCATTAGATACAGTCTAAACAAGCCCCAACCTCTCTACACATATTGGCTGTCTGACAGCTTCTGTGCAAGTACTCTGATAACTACATACCTATTCTTCCCATCCTTCTATTCTCTTACATGGGTAAATAGTATACCCTGTTTGAGATGCAGTCTTCCATGGGTGTGCCCTATGGGTGTTTTGTAAATGAAGCTTATCTTGGTAGCCTTTGCACTGGTCCCTCCACTGTCTCAACTTGGGATTCTAGTTATTAGTGGCAAGAATTCATTTTGGAAGTTAATATTAACTGAAATGTATGTACGATAGATACTCACTTCCACACATCTTTCCCACTTTTCTGGTGCACATTTCTTCATTGTCTTGTCACAGAATGGGGATATATGAGCATGAATGTTGAGGGAATCATTGTACATGGAGATGTGGTGTATTCCTATTGGTGGAGGGTTCATGTAGTTTCACATGAGATTTGGTGGGACTTTTCACAAGGCCGGTAGCTTACAAATCTCTTTAACAGATTACATGAACTCAAGATGAAAGAAGCTGTTCTGTGTGTATTTAATACATGAACTCAAGACAAAAGCTATCCTGTGGGTATTTATTACATGAACTCAAGATGAAAGAAGCTGTTCTGTGTGTGTGTATTTATTACATGAACTCAAGGCAAAAGAAGCTGTTCTGTGTGTGTATTTATTACATGAACTCAAGACAAAAGAAGCTGTTCTATGTGTGTATTTATTACATGAACTCAAGACAAAAGAAGCTGTTCTATGTGTGTATTTATTACATGAACTCAAGACGAAAGAAGCTGTTCTGTATGTGTATTTATTACATGAACTCAAGATGAAAGAAGCTGTTCTGTGTGAAAGACGAAAGAAGATATTCAGTGTCTATATTTATTACATGGACGTAAGACGAAAGAAGCTGTTCTGTGTGTATTTCTATTGGAAATACATTTTAAAGTAAGGAAAATGCTAACATATGGTGCTTCACTTCAAATTCTTCTGAATCTTCAGAATCTTAAAAATCCTTTTCAATTCGTTTTGTTTGTGAATTGTAAAAGTATTTGTGTGTTAAATCATATCTGTTTGAAAGCTACACGAACTTTACTGTACCATGCTGTAACTATCAGTAATATAACCGACACTCAAAAACACACTGTTCTTGTACTGAGACATGAATTATAGTGTTTGGTATAGAGCGACTGTTGAAATTAAGTGTATCGTAAAGTTGTATTCGGAAAGAATAAACCAGTTTTATTTAAGAAAGGACTTGTGTCACTAAAGTCTCGTCAGAACGAATTTACGGAAAATTAACTAACGACTAGAGGCATAACAAATTGGTGTCAGAGAGTGGGACAAAAAAAAATGGAAGCGAGAAGCGATAAATCAAACTACAGCATAGCAGACTTAATGGCAGCAATACAAGAACAGCAAAAGAAACAAGAATAACGAGAGAATAAACAAGAATAGAAACAAGAAGAGAGATTACAGCAGTTGCAAGAAAATCTGCAACAGTGGCAGCTCGAACAGCAAAATAAACAAGAAGAGATTTTATTACAACAGCTATTGGAGGAGAAAGAAAATAAACAAGAAGAGAGATTACAACTGCTGTTGGAGGAGAAAGAAAATAAATAAGAAGAGAAATTACAGCAGTTGTTGGAGGAGAAAGAAAATAAACAAGAAGAGAAATTACAGCAGTTGTTGGAGGAAAAAGACAAGAAACAAGAAGAGAGACTACAGCAGTGGCAACTGGAACAAGAAAGGAAACAAGAAGTACAAATAGGAAAACATTAGTAAAATTTAAAAGCGAATTAGATACGTTAAAGAACGATTTATTGTCTTTTACACAAGGAGGATACATTAACCATTGACTTAACC